GCCATTTTGCTGAGGTGCTTATTCCAGCTGGTCCCAGAGTTTTCAATAAGGTTGGGAAGCCATGAGAAAAAAGGTTTAAATCCTTGGCAAAGTGCACAGAGGGAGGAGGGAGGGCAGTTGATTCAGACGTGAAGGGTCGGCCACCAAGCCCTAAGTGCCAAAGCGGGATTCTGCCTTGGCTGCCCATTGCGTCAGCGGGGGAGTTTCGAAAACTGCTACCAGGCCATCCTAGACCAATTAAATTAAAGCAGGATTTCTGCGGCTGGGAGCCAGGCACCGGGAAGCATCCAGGGCTTTCAATGTGCAGCCAAGTTTGGTAAACTGCCTTGTGTTCTGGATGGCAAGGTGCCGCTGGAGGCTAGGTCTTGGTGGCACAAAGCTAGCTCGCCTCCCAGAACCACGGCCAAGGGTGGTCACTGGCTTAGTCTGGTCTCCTGCCAGTCCCGGCCCGGCTAAGGGACCAGGATGATTTCTCCCTGGAGCTGAAGGAGCACGTGGTGTCCTGCAGGGGGCAGCCTTTCATGCTTCTTGGAAGACGGGATCTGTGGCACATTATTAGGGAAGTAAATGATGTCTCGGTGTTGATGTTTTTCCCTGGAAGCTTCCTTGTCAAGAATGATGGAGAGTCATTCCTTTGGAGGTACTCCCCCCTTCTCAGAGCCCCCTGCCCTCCTTTAGAGTTGATGTGTCACCCAAGGAAGATAGCGATGCAATACTTGTAACTTGTGTAAATAGCCCCATCTTTCAGTGATGTCATTTCTACATTTGATATGCCTGTATCTCTGTAGGATGTATATAGTTTAGGGCATTTTGTTTGGTTCTGTTTTTTAGAAAAGTCAACGTCTGTTTTTATTTATTGCTTGAAAAAGATCATTTGAAGAGAAATAAACACGTTTTCAGCCACCTCTGGCTTGGTTTATCCTTTCCTTGAAAACTTGCAGTTGGATGAGTTGCAAGGTGTGGGAGGCCGATCTGTGTCCTCACCAACCTTGTGCACTTAGGGACCAGGGGAGGTGGGCCGGTAAAACCTGTGAGTCCACTTTCGCTCCCTGAACACCACTCCAGGTCGGTGACAGAAGGCCGACCAGAGTCCCCAGGGGGCTGGCTTTCCAGGCAGACATTCCAGCAGCAAGAACTGCATGAGATTAGGAGTGCCTTTCCTTGAGATGCTACTTTGCACCAAGCGTGATGCGGCCATAAGGGTTGCTCCCCTGTGGATTGCAGAAACCCCTCCAAGTCAAAATGATAAAGGATCTAATCCATTCCTAATTTTTAGTTCTATATATAATTTACTCACATACATACAAAAATTTTTAATACTGTAGTGTATAGAATAGGACACACCCTTCCCAGCTCTGCTGCCTTTTGTCACTCGGTGTGCCCAGGTTTCTACGTACTTATCCAAAATATAATTGTCGCACTTACAAGTGAGTTAAAGTTGTATGTGTGCATATATTTTATGTGACCTCTCCCCTGACCCGGTTTTTTTTTACCCAGACACACTGGAACTTTGTTATAAGATCTGGCTTTTGTCAATCTTGCATTAATGTATTTTAACCTGCATCTCTTCATTATGAGATCAAGTGTTTTTTTATGTGTTCAGGAACCATTTGTACTTTTTCTGTGAACTGTGTTCATCATACCTCTTACTTGATTTTCTTTTTCCTACAATCTTCAGACACTTTTGGCTATAGTATGCATGGCTAACATTTCCCCCAGGTATTTTGTCTTTGGATTTTGCTTATACAAATTTTCCCACTAAAATATCAGTTTACATCCCTGCTTTCAATTCTTTTGGATGTATACCGTCCTGATTTATTTTAAAGAATATTTAGACGGAGAACAAAGCTGCCAGTGCTGCAGATCGGCCACCATTGCTGTGCAGGAGAACGTCAGGCCTATTCTGGTGCAGGACGTGGAGTGCACGGGGAGGAGCAACTCTGGGTAACTGTTCTCTTGTCCTCATGATTCCCCAGGGTCTAAACTTTGGAGCTTGGCTCTGTCAAATTAGGCTCCGAGTGCCAAGTGGAGGGAACAATATTTGCTCCTGCCCTATTCTCCCCAGTTGCAAACTAGTTAAAAATACCAGGACTCTTTAATACATGTTGACACAATATTCACTTCCTTGAAGTCAGTGGAGGAGTTAAGTCAAAATTAACTTTTTATTTAGTATTTATTTTTTTATGAGCATATCTGTCTCCATTCTCAACTAAAGGAGAATATACACATACACTTTGCTTGTATATACTTTTCTATCCTTGTATCTTTAACAACAGACTGAATTTATTAGTTTTAAGTTCACAACAAAACTGGAAGGTAGAGATTTCCCACATCCTCTCTACCCTCACCCAGCCCCTCCCATTAACAACATGCCCACCGGGTAGGGCATTTGTTATGTAGATGAGCCTGTACTGACACATAATCACCCCCAAGTGCACAGTTTATTTAGGGGTCACGCTTGGTGTTTTACATTCTAGGGGTTTGGACAACTGTACAATGACATATATCCTCCATCAGTCTCATGCAGAGGATTTTCATCGCTGCAAAAATCCTGTGCTCCTCCCATTAATTCCTCTCTTCCCCCCTAACCCCTGGCAGCCAGATTTTACTCTGTAGTTTTACCTTTTCTGTAATATATGTAGTTGGAATCGGTGTGTGGCTCTTTCAGATTGGCCTCTCATTTAGTGATATGCATTCAAGTTTCCTTCATGTCTTTTTGTGGCTTGATGGCTCATTTCTTTCTAGCATTTAATAATATACTCCATTGTCTGCATGTGCTGCAGTTTACTTACCAGGGCACCTATGGCAGGACATCTTAGTTGCTTCTAACTTTCGGCAACTAGGAATAAAGTTTCTATGAACACTGTGTGCGGGTTTGGGTGTGAACCTAAGTTTTCAACTTCTTTCGGTACATAGCAAGGAGAGCCATTGCTGGATTGCATGGGAGGCCTACGAGTAGTTCTACAGGACACGGCCCACTGTCCACATCGTTTGTGGTCATTCCCTCTGGAGGCCATTTTGCTGAGGTGCTTATTCCAGCTGGTCCCAGAGTTTTCAATAAGGTTGGGAAGCCATGAGAAAAAAGGTTTAAATCCTTGGCAAAGTGCACAGAGGGAGGAGGGAGGACAGTTGATTCAGACGTGAAGGGTCGGCCACCAAGCCCTAAGTGCCAAAGCGGGATTCTGCCTTGGCTGCCCATTGCGTCAGCGGGGGAGTTTCGAAAACTGCTACCAGGCCATCCTAGACCAATTAAATTAAAGCAGGATTTCTGCGGCTGGGAGCCAGGCACCGGGAAGCATCCAGGGCTTTCAATGTGCAGCCAAGTTTGGTAAACTGCCTTGTGTTCTGGATGGCAAGGTGCCGCTGGAGGCTAGGTCTTGGTGGCACAAAGCTAGCTCGCCTCCCAGAACCACGGCCAAGGGTGGTCACTGGCTTAGTCTGGTCTCCTGCCAGTCCCGGCCCGGCTAAGGGACCAGGATGATTTCTCCCTGGAGCTGAAGGAGCACGTGGTGTCCTGCAGGGGGCAGCCTTTCATGCTTCTTGGAAGACGAATCTGTGGCACATTATTAGGGAAGTAAATGATGTCTCGGTGTTGATGTTTTTCCCTGGAAGCTTCCTTGTCAAGAATGATGGAGAGTCATTCCTTTGGAGGTACTCCCCCGTTCTCAGAGCCCCCTGCCCTCCTTTAGAGTTGATGTGTCACCCAAGGAAGATAGCAATGCAATACTTGTAACTTGTGTAAATAGCCCCATCTTTCAGTGATGTCATTTCTACATTTGATATGCCTGTATCTCTGTAGGATGTATATAGTTTAGGGCATTTTGTTTGGTTCTGTTTTTTAGAAAAGTCAACGTCTGTTTTTATTTATTGCTTGAAAAAGATCATTTGAAGAGAAATAAACACGTTTTCAGCCACCTCTGGCTTGGTTTATCCTTTCCTTGAAAACTGCAGTTGGATGAGTTGCAAGGTGTGGGAGGCCGATCTGTGTCCTCACCAACCTTGTGCACTTAGGGACCAGGGGAGGTGGGCCGGTAAAACCTGTGAGTCCACTTTCGCTCCCTGAACACCACTCCAGGTCGGTGACAGAAGGCCGA